GCAGTATAAATAAGTGCAGCAGTAAAAGTATCACAGGATATAAAGATGACTACAACTGATACAGAGGCAAAACAATCAAAAGGATGAGAACCGGGGACCTCTCAGTATCCCGAGGATCTCTTAGTATCCTCAATACACATACCCGGGGATCTCTTGGTATCCCGAGGATCTCTTGGTATCCTCCATATATGGCAGGGATCTCTTGGTATCCCGAGGATCTCTTGGTATCCTCAATATATATCAGGGATCTCTTGGTATCCCGAGGATCTCTTAGTATCCTCATATATGTGCCAGGGATCTCTTGGTATCCCGCACCTCAGCTCGATCATAAATAAGTACAGGGGGTCTCCCGGGATGCCTTCCCGTAGCCCCAAAATAAAACGCACAACAATAGCAAAAAAAAATATTCAATTAAGCTCAACTTCGTACCAAGGCAAAATAGATAATTCTAACCTAGCATGCTTCACGTAATACAAATAAGGCATTTAAGGTAAGTAGAACAATTTAGTCAATTAGACATGCTTCTCTAAACTAACAGCAGGCTAAATTTCCAAGTAGTGTAAGCAAGAAAAAGGAAGAACACAATTCAAGGCTATTTTTAATGAAAAACCGGATTTCCAACAATTAGCACAAGTAAGCGCTCGTCACCTCACGTACAAGGCATTTCAATTATCACAATAACAGTCCTAACGGGAAAGGTCCCCCTGATCGTTGCCAACTCTGCACTACTAAAAAGTAGCAAGAGAGGGTCGCAATAGCTTTTACCCGATTTTGGGTCGGGATCGAAATTCGGGTATTACTCTCTCGAGGTTTAACCCTTTAATTGGGGCTATCAATCTCTTGAGTACGCCCCAATTCATTGTTGGACCAATTTTGGAGACTTAGGATCTCTTTCTCTAGAAGAACTCAAGTCAACTCAACCAAACTAGTGTTTGCAACCACTAATTCAGAAATTAACCATGAAATTGGCCCAAATAACAAACACCCATAGTCAAATTAGCCCTAAAATACAAGACCCATCAATTACCCACACTAAGGTTGAGCCATAACCCAAGATATGGGGTCTAGCTACTCATATTCAAAGAAGAAAAACAAGAAATAGATGAAGATAAACACATATTAATTAATTGCTAAGCTAAATACAAAGATTCAATGATGGAAAGTAAGTAAAAATGCCCAAAATGGCTAAGAAAAGTCGACCCACGAGCGCAGCTTATGCTTTATAATTACCCTAAAAATGGAAAAAGAATCTATTTATACTAAGCTGAAAAATCTGGATAAAATTGCCCCTGCGGGGTAAGTGCGGACTGCACAAAATGGACCGCGGTACGCACTGGCTCTTGGACATCAAAAATCTCACTCTCTGAACTTGGGCTCCGCGGACCACACAGAATGGACTGCGGCCGTGGTGACTTCTAGTGCGGTCCGCACAAAGTTGACCGCGGACAGCGGAGACTTAAAACTTGAAAATACAACCTCTCTGAATCTTGGCACAGCGGAAAGTAGAGAATAGACTGCGGTCGCGTTGCCTCCAGTGCGGACCGCACAAAACTTAGTGCGACAGCACTGCCTTTAAACCTGAATTCCACCTCTCTGAATCTCCTAGTGCGGACCGCACAAAATGGTGTGCGGCCGCACTGGGCTTGTTCTGCCTGAGCTTGCCTTGTCTTTGGCACTTGTGCAAGTTACACTCCTTTTGAGCCGATCTTTGACGTTTTTGTCACTTTACTGATCAAACCTGCAATCAAGCACAACTTGTGAGCCTTTTGGGACTATTTTGTATGAATATTTAATCAAAGCATAAGCAAGAAAGAGTATAAAATGCGTCAAAATCCCTAGTTATCA